TGATGACCTTTCCCTTAGGAGGACTATAGAGTGATGCATTGTTAAGGGGAATTTGAACCCCATGTTTGGGGAAAAACCTAAATCGGAACTAAAAGGACTCCCATTCCTCAGCAGTAAGTTCCCTTCCTAAAGGACGAGCGATAGCCATGGAAGAATACAAAGAAAAGGTCGAAAGGGTTCTTTGAGGAAAGAAAGAAAAAATAGAAAGGTAGATAGTGAGGAGGAAACGCATGGAGGAACAAGGGTTTAAATGATGCTATAGGAGTAGTGAACCATCTCGTGATGAAACCGCCGAAGAACGGCGACTTCGTCCTCAAAACCCTACAAAATATCAATAGCAATCTGCCACATGTCTACAGGTAGAAGAAAATGACTATGCTACATCACAAATACAAATCTCTACTGGTCTAAGGGACTTTTTAACATTATCGTATGCGGCCACGTTTAACTTAACGAAAAGCACTGACGAGAAGTTATTAAGCCAGGGCCTTGGTTGGGACCCGACCTTGGCCCAAGTAGGCCAGCGTTGAGCTGGTAGCCCGCTTTCCCTCATGAGGAAATAATATTTCTTGTGATCTTTTTATTCTCTCACTACCAATCAGGTCATGACAAGGAGCCTGGTGACGCCCAGAATTGCCGTCACCTGGCAGTTAGTCATCGTGGGCATACTCCTCCAAATAAGAGGGCGCAACGTCTCACTCCCACAAGCGAGAGTCACTTTGTTCCGTTAGAAACAGGTATAAAAGGATCTCTTCCTTCCCTAGGAAGGGATCCATCATCTTCTTTGTACATTTACCTTAAATTCTATCTAAGTGGGTACTAACTTGATCGCCAGAGCGACGTCCCGAGAGAACTCCCGGTCGGCCTTTAATGATTCTTCTGTGTTTTGTTCACAGTAAAAACTCAAGGACAACCCGTCTACAAGCATCTAATTCCCTGCTGAGCATATCACAACAAGAAATAACTCTTGTTCTAATATCAAACCACTTACACTGAAATAGTGTAGTTGAATAATCATGTATATACCGTAACTCTATAATCTCTTCTAACTGACCATAATATTTCTTGCCATTCTCACCCACCGCTAAAAACCCAGTTTTTTGTTGTGCGTTGTACGTCACGACTAAGTACCTTAAACCTAACACAATTGACTATGCATGTAGTGTAAGTATAAGCATTCATTTACGGACCCACTTTTTTCATCACTTTGGGGATGTTCATATTTGAATTTCTTGTGTTGATGAAAAAATATATAGAATTCGTAGATGTAAAAAGTTAAAAATAAATTTGATAATGAAAGTTAGAGTTAAGAAAAGTCACTCGATATACTGTCTGACTTCTTCATAGCTATTTAGTACAAACCATTCCATGTTACGCACTTATGTTAAATTAAAAGTTTTGATTTGGATTGCGCTGGCCAATCGACATTTAGACTTAACCATCCAAAACATTTTTTTCAACAACAACATCTTCATTTCTTTCAGGACGATTAAACTGAGTTTGCAAATCTCAAAGGTGCATTAAACAAAATGATAAATCTTCTTCAGCAATATAACCCTTGGCTATAGAATCTTTAGGCCTCGCTTTGTTTCTGACATAGTTTTTTAGTTTTTTCATATACCTTTCAAAGGGATACATCCATCATATACATATTGGGCCTCCGCCAATCGCTTAATCAGGTAAATGAAAAACTAAATGAACCATAATGTCAAAAAAACGTTGGAGGATAAATCAATTCTAACTTGCACAAGATTGCGATAATGTTTACTTTTTCTTTTCTCATATCCTCCACCTTCAGTGTTCTAGAGAAGTTGCTTGAAAAACATACAAAGATATACAATAGGTATATAAGTGTATTTGTCTAACAAGTCTTTAACTCCAATCGGTAACAAATGTCACATAAGAATGTGATTGTAATGAGCTTTCAACCTAATAATGTTAGTATTGGTATCATTAACTTTCTTACTAATGTTAGACCCAAACCCATCTGGCAGTTTAACATCTTTTATAAGTTGACATAAGAGTTGTCGACTAGATTTCGTGAAAGAGTATCTTGCATGGGGTCTATGAAACTTGTCACCCTTTCTTTGCAACCATTAATTTCTCCACATATTTAGAATTCTCAAGTCCTCTCGTGCATTTGATGTTTCTTTACTTTTATCGTTCATTAGAAGAGTACCTAAAAAACTCTCGTCCACATTTTTATCGACGTGCATGAAATATATGTTGTGTTTCTGCTGCAGAGAAGACCGATACTCGACTTCAAAGAAAATGCTTCTTTCGACCCATTCATATTGAGTATGTTTACTCGGTTGATGAGTTAATAGACGAACAAGTCTCTCTTGTATGTCGTCATTACTAAAGTGTCTCGGAGCTGTTCTTGTCTCCTCCAACCTGTTATAGTCCAACCTCTATTTTAACGAATCATTAGCATCTAGGAAACAATGATGACCAATATATGACTTAATTTATTTGTTGCACGGTATGAAGGAGTGTCTTCATTGCAAGTAAGACATGCTCTGTACCCTTTCCCATGCAACCTGCTTGCTACAACTTGATAGACTACTATGAGCTGGAAAGTCATTTTTTGTCCACAAAAACATAGCTCTCATCGTGAAGAATGTGTTTGTCGTCACATTTGTAGTACGTACGCCTGAGTTTCAGTAAAGTTTAAGCTCTTCCACCAATGGCCTAAGGAAAATATCCATATCCTTACCAGGTGTTTAGGGTCAGGAATCAACAAAGTTAACATGAATATATATATATATACACACACACACACACACACACTCGAAGAGGAAAGATAAAATGACAATCAAATCTGTCTTAAACAAACAATCATGTAATACATGTTCACACCTTAGATGCGATAAAGTACTCAAAAAGCAGACTCAAAACGGGGACAACCTGAAATGAATTTCTAAATCAATTTCAAACGAGTATTTCTAGGCTCATAATGATTACAAAGAAGAAACAAACGAATAGAATTTGGAAGATTTTTTTTGTTATTTATAGCATCTTACTTTTGTATATTTTTGTTATTTATGGTATTTGATTTTGTTTTAAGTTTTCTATAACATCATTGTACTTTAAGTATTACATTGTTTTTCTATTTGTGAATTGTACTTTTTTTTTATATTTCTATTATAGTAGTTTACTTTATATTTTCATTGCTAATAATAGCATCCTACTTTATTTTTTTTACAATCCATATTGTTTTATTAAAAAAACAGCATTCTCAATAATAGCATCTTATTTCCTATGTTTTTTTTTTCAATAATATCATCCTACAATAATAGCATTCTTAATACATACATCAAATACATAATAACATCCTACTTAAAAACACATACATTCACATACATACATACATAATAGCTTCAAATATACATACATATACCACATATATACTAAATACACATAAATTCTCAATACATATATCAAATACACAATAGCATCCTACTTATACCAAAAACACATACGTTCATATACATACATAATAGCATCAAATACACATACCATAGATACATGAAATACACATAAATTCTCAATACATACATCAAATACACAATAGCATCCTACTTATACAAAAAAAACATATACTTTCACATACATACATAATAACATCCTACTTATACCAAATACACAGATTTTCACATAGACACACACACACACACACACACATATATATATATATATATATATATATATATATATATATATATATATATATATATATACACACACACACACCACATGTACACCAAATACACATATTTTTGCAATTAATCTCCAAATCATAGTAAATAGAACTTGTGGTGACCAAATGTCAGTAATTGGTGTAGTGTCGGTGCTAGTTGTCGCCGGTGACGGCAACACTCGGCGGTAGCGGCGGTGACAATGGACGAAAAAGCTCTTTGAAACAAATTTTTGCAATTAATCATAAATGCTCCTGGAAATCGACATTAAAATAGAAAGGGAGAAATGAGGAAGGAAACACAAAGCTTGGAGGAAATCGTCAGCAATAACACCGGCAGCCTAAAGGCGTCGAAGATGTCGAAGTGGGGAAGTTTTCAGTGGCCTAAAGTCGTCGTCGGTATCTCTTCAAACTATCAGGGCTGTCGATTGAGCGAGAATCATCGGAGAGCGGATGGAAAAAACAGAGTAACAGACACCAAATGAGAGCAGAAAGCAAAAAGAGGAGATTGTTGTGTGGTATATTATCTGCGTCGACCAACAGCGGCGAAATATAAACATTTACTGGCGACAACATCCAATAGCAACGACTTACACGGAAGGAAAAGATGTCGCGTCTTATTCGACCTTTAGCAGCGATATTTTTTTGCCTTTAGTGGCGACTTTTTGCCACCAGTATTAGTTTTGTGCGAAAACAAGACCTCAATCATTGGATTAGATACTCGATCGAACGGTTGGGGTTTATGAGAAGGTGATAATGCAGATTCGGTCCACAAGACATTACTGACGACATTTAAAAATTAAGAATTTGAATAGATAACTAAGATTTTTTTTTAAACAACAATAGATAACTATGATTTAATGCTAGTCTATTATCATGAGGTTGGAACGATAATTGGATTGTTGCTCGGTGTATTTTAATTTTGTTGTTTATTCTTTTTGGAAACGGCCATTATAATATCAAGAAATCCAGCTTTAGCAAGTAACTAGGCAAAGGGACAAAAACGAAGTACAGAACGTAGATAACAAATATTACAGGAACAATTTAAGAGACATTCTAGTAATTGTACTCATCACTCTTCAATGACTTTTGGTTTCTTCTTTGCTTTGGTGATGAAGAACATGCAAGCAATAATTCAAATTCAAATTCAAATGTAAGAACATTTAATGAATTGCAGTAAATGAAAAAACAACCGTTTTCTATGAAACAAGTAAAATTGAAACAATAACATATATGGTTGTTGCTTGTTACATTTTATTCAAAAGTAAAACTGTGTATAAGATAAACAAAAATTATAGATGTTTTAAACCCTTAGAGACCTACTAAATGCCTTCATAAACTTAAAATCCTTTTGAACATTAATGCTTTCTTTTCTTTCTTCTTTCCGGCTACCAAAGATGGGCCTAAGCAATTTCTTCAATACCTTCTGAAACCTCAACCCACGGTGGTGATGTTGGTGGCGCCGCCCTTGAGTCACCTTGGATTCCAACGGTGGTGGTGGTGGTGGCTGTGGCAGCTGATACCTAGGTGCTCGAGGCTCTGAGAAACTCCTACCAAGAATGGCTTGATTTAAATGTACCTCAAATGAAAGCCTTTCAAACCTGTCTAGTAATGTGCTTTGCTCATCCCCAAATCTCTTCTTAACCTCTTCCACTTCATGCATCGCCTTTGTTCCCATCTCTCACTCTCTCTCTCTGTCTCTCTCATGCACTCTCTTCAACCCCGGCTCTTATATACACATATATATTATATATACATAATATATATAAAAATATATATTATAATATTCTCTCGCTATATATAGAGAGAAAGATTTATAGGTATATATATTTTACTATGTTGTGTCTATCTCTCTCTTTCTCTATATAGCAAGATATAGAGTTGAGTATGATGAAAGGTGGGAGCTTTATTGGGTTGGCTATGGCTCGAAGGAAATCAAGGGGATAAAAAAAATTAATGTTATAAAAGAAACAATATTTTGAGACTTTAATAGACTTAAATAGTTCATAATTAGTTTTTATTAAAATTCAAAAATTTAATCATACTAATATCTTTTTGGAAAATACTACATTTTGATTCTAAAAAAAAAAAAAGTTACTCTTAAGTTTTAAATAATATATTTATTTTAGTTAAAGTGTATCAAATTTTGGTATTAAATATGGTCTTCAACACCAGAAAATTTTGAATTAAGACTCGTTTGGTGTAGAATTTTAATAGCATTTAATATATATGATCTTGAAACTCATTATGAATTCATTATTTTCCTTTTTCGTGTATCGTAAGGGCGGCATTTAATATCTGGTGACATTGTTTTCAAAGTTTTGCTCATCTGAATTCATAACTTTCTATATTCTGATTTTTGACTTTCAAGATAGTCTTTGGTGTTTATCATGTTGGTTTTCTTAATTTACTTACTAAAACTTATAAAATACAAGTAAATAGTAACATTCTATATTTCTATGTTTTCAATACAAAAGCTGCTGCTTGCGATTTGCTTTATTCTGCCGTGGATGTGGTTTATTCCTTAATTTTAACTTTGAAAGCGACTTATGCCTCACAAAAGTTTTTGATAGATATACGATTTGTCTACTAGATGTTTCAGAAGATATATATATGTATGATGTGTCCTATGTTTGCGTGTTCTCTCGGAAATAAATATTTGCTCTTTTTTTATTATTTTAATAAAGATTTAATAAAGATATAATAACAGAAGTGATATGACGTATAAATCATTGCGATCTGTTAATTTTATGGATTAGAAATCATTACTGAAAAAGAAGATTTTGATTATGTTTTTATATGTATTTTTTTTTAAGACTTTAAGCAAAAATATAATATTTTCGGAAATAACCATTCATTTCATCGGGGTCTTGTAAAATTGGCTAAAACCGTTCCAACAACACAAAAAAACTATATTTTTTGTTATTTTCGTAGGGTTTTTTGTTATTTTCACGGGGCCCTTTGAAAATAAGGGTGCCCGATTTAACAGGTATAAGCGCTTAATCTTTATATTTTAACTCAAAATTCTCTAGCATAATCTCGCATATTTAGATCTAAACTTAGATGACATTCATATATTAAACACGAATCAAAGTTCAAAGTTCATGTTTCGATAAAAAAAAATTTTTTTTTTTTTGGACCGGCAAAAGAAGAGTAAATATATTGAAAAAGATCATTCCTAGCAAGGTGCTACGATGAAAGGAAACAAGTACAAAAACAGTTTCAAAAACAAAAGAACAAAAAGTGAATTACAAGGAATTAAAAGGTGATATGTTCCAATGAACCCAATTTAGACTCCTCTTGTCGTCTCTGTGTTTAAACCATAAAAAAGTAGTTGATTTGATTATATCTGCCACCTTCATCGCACCCATCCGTTGATTGGCGAAGATTCGTTCATTTCTAGCTTTTCAAATGCTCCATAAGGTTGCATAGCAAATACCTAATAGTCTGTTTCTTCTTCTTTGGACAATGTCCCCAATTGGATGCATAGTCAACAATTTCATAGACCGTTTGAAAGTTTACCATCGGAACAGTACACCATTTGAAAACCCATTCCATGACAGTTTTGGCAAAAGAGCATTGTACTAGGATATGGTCAGATGTTTCTTCCGCAAGGTTACATTGGCAGCATATAATGGTTGGTAGAATTATGCCCCTTTAGAGAGGGCAATCACTGATGGTATACGTCCCCATTTTGCCCTCCAAATAAACACACGACCTTCAATGGTACTTCCTTGATCTATATAAAGTTGTCGATATCTACCAGTCCATTGTCCTCCAAGATGCGACGAAGTGCACTTACCATATTGTTCCCATCTATCGTTATTTCACATTTCCAAGATATATTATCGCATATTTGCTTCTTTTTTATGATTTGATCGTGTGTGATTCCCCTCATTTCTAGTTCACTTCTGATGCATGCTATGTTATTCCACACACCTGTCATCGTGTAACACCATAAATTTTCAAAAAAAAAAAAAAATCATTTTCAAACACATTAAATTCTCATTCTACAATCTCAAAAACACAAGTGTCTAAAATGTCAATCATTTCAAAATGTAAATCACAATCCCAGAATCATAAAACATCTCCCGCCGGTGTGTACAATCATGTCGTTGCCTTGCCGCGATCCTCAGAACTACTTGAAACACATAACACACAACACGATAAGCATAAAGCTTAGTGAGTTCCTTAAAATACCACACACAACACATTAGCCATTCGAGGCTATAATTCAATAAGACCCTCCGGTCAATGTGTATTAGTGGGACCCTCCGGTCCCACAACTCAGTTAGACCCATGAGTCCCTCAATTCAACAACTCAATGTAATACACAGTATGCATATCACAAAACAAATAGCATGATATCTCTAAACACAACACATACACATAAGACCCTCTGGTCACACATAAGTTACCACTTAATATAAGTATAGTAAGAAGACTCACCTCGTAAGCTAGCAAGTAAACCCTCGTACTCGGAAATCTCGAACTTTGCCCACCGGTCTAGCCACTGCCTATCACATAATAATTATCCCTAATTAATATTAGCCCTCAAGAAGCTAGACTAACCCTTTTATATTCACAGAAGGGTAAAAGACAATTTTACCCCTCCATGCTCTTAATCTTCCTAACTACCTTACTCTCAAGACACGAAAGTCAATACGAGTCTACTGCCAAAGTTGACCCAACTCGCCGAGTGCACTCGGGTGACTCGTCGAGTCCACTCGTATCCTCTGAATTCTTCTAAGGTTCTCACATGGCTCGTCGAGTTAACCTCCCAACTCGACGGGTTATCACTAGGTCACGAATCGCGAGGTAACCCGATTCGACTAATCAATTAATCTCATAGACTTGGTGAGTTGACACATCTGGATGTCTCATATGGATGTCTGAGTTCAGATCTGCAACTCAAACCTCTATATCTAGCCTCCGAAAGCTCAAAAGTCACGTAAAGGTCCGATCTTGATGACCATGCATGGCATCAATGCTCCAAAATGTCATCACAAGCGCCAAAAAAGGTCGCAAGCATGGGGACCTGCCTCTAAGTCGATAAAGCTCAAAACTTTGGACACTCAAGGTCCCCTTTAGTCTAAATCTGAGGTTCTAACCTCAACCCATACCCAAAAAGATCAAGAACACAACATGTTTGAGAGAAAACCCTAAAAGCTCCCCCAAAAATGAGATCTAACGGACAAGATGCGAAAATAAGAGTTTTTTTTACCTCTGAATGGCAACAAATGACAGAATAATACAAGATCCACAACCTCCTCTTGGATAGATCCACCAAACTCCTCCAACATATCCTCCAAAATGCTCAAGAATGCTCAAGATGGACTCTCTCTCTCTCTCTCTCTCTCTCTCTCTCTACAATGAAAAGTGTAGGTTAGGGTTTCTCTCTGGGGAAGGTGACCGCAAAAGGAGGCCATAAGGGCCTTTAAATAGGCCACATGCCCGAGAAATTTGGGTTTCCCTCAACATCACTGACTCGGCAAGCTCATGGACTCGTCGAGTCCCCCCATTAATTTGCGTCACCAGTCGCCACACTACTCGACGAGTTGAGGCGCCAACTCGTCGAGTCACTCCTCATATCTCAAAATAAATACATAAATTACACATCGTCTTCATGGAGTAGTATCGTCCCCTTTGTTATGTAGTTTATGAATACCTGTAATCACTTTTACCCATAAAACATGGTTGGTTCCGATCTTAGTTGCCACCACCATTTCACCAGGAGAGAGATGTTTAGGGACTTCGGTGAGCCAATCCCTAAACCTCCTTTATTTTTTCCTACGATTACTTTATCCTAAGAGACACAATGTATCGACTTTTTGCCTTCCAAGCCACCCCATAAAAAGCGTCGTCTGATTCTTTCTAGCTTATCTAGAACACCACTAAGAGCCACAAATAGAGACATGTAGTAATTTGGTAAGTTACCCATGACATATTTGACCAATGTCAAATGTCCGCCAAATGTCAATGTTTTTTATTTCCATGTTGACAATTTTTTCTGAAACCTATCAGTTATGGGGATCCAATGTTTTTTGAGCTGCATGTTAGCTCCCACCGGTACACCAAGGTAAGTGAAGGGTAGCGTAGCGGGTTCACACCCTAGGGGGCAGGACCAGCGTGTGACTTCCTATATGTCTGCACAAACACCAATCACACGTGATTTATAAAACTGGACTTTTATCCCTGAGGCTGTGTGAAAGCAACGGAGGATGTGAGATAAGTTCTTGATGTTGTTTTTGGACCAATCTCCTATCAATATTGCATCGTCAGCATACAATAGATGGGAGATCAATGGGCCTCAATTTAGTAGCTGCAAACCTTGGAAGACACCCGCGTAACATGATTCCTACATAGATACACTCAAACCGTCCATTGCGATGATAAATAATAAGGGGGAGAGTGGGTCTCCCTATCGGATACCCTTCGAAGTTGTGAATTCGTCTATTGGATTCCCATTTACCAAAATTTATGCGTGCGTCAAGCGAAGACATCCATTCACCCACATGCGCCATTTTTTCCCAAATCCCATTTGCACAAGGTTGTTGTCTAGAAATTCCTAGTTGATAGAGTCAAATGCCTTGTCAAAGTCAACCTTAAAGAGAAGGATTTCCTTTTTGGTTTTCTTTGCCCAAGAGCATAGCTTGTTAAACACAAGCGGACCGACGAGTATACTTCTACCTTGCACATAAGCTGTTTGCACTTTGTTGATACAACTTCCCATTATTTTCTTTATTCGTAATGCAAGGATTTTAGCTATAATCTTATAGATGGATCCAATGAGGCTGATTGGGTGGAAATCACTAAGCTTGAGTGGATCTTTAATCTTGGGAATAAGGGAGATGAATGATGAAATGCAAGATCTATCTAGTCTGTTGGACCGTTTAAAATGTTTTACCACTGCTACTATGTCACCTAGAAGGACTTTATAATATGTTTTGATGAATTTGAATGTCAGCCCATTTGGTCCGGGAGATTTTTCATTGCCACATGTCCAAACAACATCTTTTATTTCTTCCAGTGTGAATGGAGCCTCCAAAGACCATGCATCAGATGCGGGAATCCTTTTTAACCGGGAGCTTTGAAATTTCTGTCTTTGTAGCCATTTTTTAGTGAACTTTTCTTGAAAGAAACGTAAAGCCTCCACCTTTATCTTTTTCGGGTCCGTACACCAGTCCCCATTTATCATTAGCCTGTTAATTCGATTTCTGTGATTATTGTTATTTGCATATCCATGGAAGAATTTAGTGTTTTCGTCACCATCAATCGCCCATTTGATTTTTGCTTTTTGTTTCGCAATGATGATCGCCAGCTTTTCCTTTTCTACAATATCCTTATACCCGTTCCTTCTGGTTTCAATTTCCTCATCTATTAAGGTTCTGGACTCTACCAACTCATCAAAATCATTAACAACCATTTGGACTTTTAGAACCTCTGCTTCTTCCCTTTTGGATTTTGAGGCTCGCCAACATTTCAACTCTTCCTTGATATGTTTAAATTTTGCTGCCAAATACTGATCTAGGTTGCCATAGCCTCTGAAATTGTTCCACGCCTAGATAAACGTGCTTTCAAAACCATCTCTTGCTAGCCAATAATTAAAGAACTTGAATGGTGGAGGTCCAAAATCGCCCCAGGTGGAAGATAGAAGCACGGGGCAATGATCTGAAAGTTTTTGAGGTAATGTCGTGACTGTTGTTGAGGGGGCAAGATCTAGGAATCCTAAACAAACAAGAAATCTATCTAATTTTCGAAGTTTCGAGTCTTCATTGCGGAAACAGGTGAAGCGATTCCCCCTATCTTTACATTAATCAACCCTGATTCATGGATGAAATTGTTGAAGTCGTAGGCTGACCTTGGTCAAAACACCAAATTGAATCGTTCTTCCCCCCTTCTAACGACGTTGAAGTCGCCCATCATTACCCATATACCATGCCTTTCTCTCTTTATATTTAGTAGTTCATTCCATAGTGTTTTTTTATCAGCGAGTTGTTGTGCACCATAGACGTTTACAAAAATAAATGGTGTGTCAAATTCTGACCATTGAAAAATGTTTATAAGAAAATTTTTGGCTGTAATAACCTCAGTTGAGGTGAAAACACGATGGTCGCCTATGTTCAAAAGACCACCAGACCTTCCTTCTGAATTATTCCTATCCACCCCAAAATCGTTGGAACCCCAACAAGATTGAACATCAATGCTTTCTGCATCCAAAATTTGAGTTTCCTGAATTGCTAGGAACGAAATTCTATGTCTCAGCTTCAATTTTCTGACCCAATTTACTTTGTGTACCTCCCGAATTCCATGCACATTTAAAGATAAAAAATTCATTGGTTTACATTGTGCTCACCTAATTCTCCAAGTATGTCGGCCAAAACCGGGTTCGATGTGTCTACATCGAAACCAATCAGGCCACCAATTGCAGCAGTAACTTCTAATTCGACCTTGTTATTCTCTCGATCACCAATAATAGTCATTGGATTTAATTGAGCGAACGATGGAAGATTGTTAACTTCACGCGTGGTTGTGGTGTTCTCTTGGTTGAAGTCTATGACTAGTATGTTCACAGTCGGTGGAGGAGGGGATTGATTTTGATCATCTTCATCGTCGAGTCATAGGGGAGTGATGTCAGAGGGATGGGATCGATGTATTCTTTCCCATTTTAGTGTGGATCGTCTACTACCTTTGGATTTATTTCGGTATGTGGTTATTGGGTTCGGGTGGTTGGGGGAGTTAGTTGGGAAGGGGCCAAAGCAACCTATGAGCCCAAGCCTGGCTAACGTAATATTAGGCCGTTTTAGGCTAGTACAACCATTTTCCACCGGGTATGTGGAATTTAGCTCAATGGTGGGGTCCTCAATTGTAACGCCCGTAGATTCGGGCTAGTCAATTTAGAGACGATAGGTGTCAAAAATGAATTTTTGATGAAAGATTATTTATAATAAATAATCTTAACTAAGTTATAGTATATGTTACAAGGTTTCCGTACATATAAAGAACGCTGAAATCTGAGTTATAACGAAGAAGTTATGACCTATCGAAGTTTCGCGACAGAACCGGCACGACACAGCGCGACGTAAAAATTGAATTTACGTTAGAGCGATATTTAGCCTTAGAAATCTAAATGAAAGTCGTAGAATACGTTAAACCATGAGCGTGCATAAAAAGAACGCCCAAATCTGACTTCGTATGAGGAAGTTATGATTTTTCGAAGTTTCGACTTAGCAGTATGCAGCCCGAATGCTCGATTTGAGACCGAGCGGTTTTTAGCCGAAACAATCTAAATGAGAATTGAATATCTCATTAATTTTAGTAAAACGATAAAAAGATAGGCGAAAACGGACGTCGGATGAAGAAGTTATGATTTTCTAACGGAGTTTTCCTGTCCCGACCTACTAAAAATAAATAATAAAAATAAAGTCAAAATTAGCCAACAGAGCCTAAACGAAAGTTGTAGATCGTAGTCTCACCTACGCGTGGATATAAAGAACATCGAAAACGGAGTTTGTACAAGGAAGATATGAATCTTTGAAGTTTATTTAATAATTTCGATATTTAATTTAAATAAAAATTGACCGATATTATCCATGGGGGGAGTCAGCGACCTTATCGTCGTTACGCCCTGCGTTATGAAAATTACGCCTCGCGTAAATCGGGCTTCATCCCCCTATAAAAGGAAGTCGAGTGCAGCCGATTCAGTTGCTCATTTCTTCCCGTTTTCTCGCGTTTTTGCATCGTTTTTCGTGCAAGAAATATCCCGAAGCCCCGGTATCATTCCCGAGCCCCGAAGTAAGTCCCGAGGCCCCGAAGATCCTGAGAAATGCAATTCCCGAGCCGAAGCTCTGCCAGCGAGGAGTCCGGTTTTTGTGAAGATCTTCCAGATCTACCGAAGAATACTACTTCTACAAGCCGTAGTGTTGTCCGATCATCTTCTGATCAAGTGAGTGTGTAGTTAATTTCTTCTAACGCATAATTATGAAGTATTTTATATGAAATACGTGTTATGTGTATATATATTGTGGTTTATATGTGTGAGTGTGCAGTTACTCTCTTCTAAACACATAAATATAAAGCATTAGCTATGAAATACGTGCTATGTGTTATATATTAATTGTCTATATGAGATGGGCTTGGAATTGATGTTTTTATATGGGTGTTAAATGATTTAAACTATATATGTAATTTATATCTACAAATATGTTGGGTAGAACATGGGTAGATGAAATAGTTGATGTGTGTTGAACGAATGTGATAAGAGAAAGGTGAGGATATAATGGTGATGATAATTAGGTGATGAGAAACAGGTGATGATGATTAGGTGATGAGAAATAGGTGATGATAGAAAGGTGATGATAATTATGTAATGATAAATAGGTGATGTGAGACGAGAGGAGATACCATAACCTTGACCGGCGATGTAGTCATCTACCAGAGTATAGATGGCGACCACGGACTTTTCTAGATGACCCCGTGGAAACACCAGCAGGCTCATAACCTGTAGGTGATGATTTACGAGTCCAGGTGATGTTGTGGCTACGTATTCATGCGATGATACTCTAACCCTTACTATGAATTACGAGTCCAGGCGATGTTGTGGCTATGTATTCATGCGATGATAGTCTAACCCTTATTATGACTTACTAGTCCACGCGATGTTGTGACTACGTATTCATGCGATGATCCTTAGGAAAAAGTCCTTAGGAACAAACATACAAGGAAATGTGATGTAAGGAGATGAGAGGTAAATATGATGTAGGAGATGACCCTTAGGAGAATTCCTTAGGGAAGGTACTTAAGAAATAAATGGAGATAACAGGGATGGGTAATTGGGTTGATTGTTTGATGATTGAATATAATAATTATATTATTGTGGGTTGAAAACCCTATATGCTCACCAGGCTCCCAAGCCTGACCCACTCAGTTTAATTGTATCACAGGTATCGATATGAAGCTGCTTTGCACTGAGAGATTAAAGGAGACGTAAATCATTAGTGTAATTGAATGTAAGTTCTGTTTATGCTTATATGTCTGTATCGGAACATGACATCCCGAGGTTTTATTATTAAATGAAAATACATTCTCTTTGAGAAATGTTTTGATAAGTTATTATCATATCTTGTTTTGGGAACAAATTCCGCAACCGTTTTCTTTAAAAGATTACTCTGATTTTATAAAACAAAGCATAAACAAATCGGTCTTTTTTGGCCGTGAAAATGGGGATGTCACATCAATGGGTGACGTATCTTCAATTAAAACTAGCGACGATTCCTTTCCCTGAGTGCGTGGCATGTGGTGAGGCATGTTTGGTTCCGATTCCTTGTAGGGAGTGTGCATTGAATGGATTGGAGTCATCAGTTCGTTGCCAAGTTCTAGGGATGGAACAGTTGGGGTGGTCGTCGCTGGGGTGTTCACCTCATCCCGGATCTCTCCTTCTTCTGTTTCCTCCATGTTAGTGTTCGGGATGTTCTCGTCTTCATTATCATTAGTTTCTGAATTCTCATCGTCGCCATGCAGCTCATCCAAATCATTATCTTCATATAATTCTGATTCTGAAGTGTTATGTTCTGGGTCATTGTCAAACATGAAGGGTAGCCAGGGTTCATCTTCATATTCCACAATCCCAACCATTATGGGACCTTCTTCCAAGATAACACTAAATTCCTCATTTAGCTTCTTCTTAGAATACATGATTATGCCCAGTTTGACACATCACAGATCCACCCTATCTTGAATGCCCTCAAATGGCGCAATAATATTTCCAATGAGGCGTATTATTGTTGAGAAATTTGAGTCACACCAGTACTTTAATGGTAGACCCATAATTCTAACCCAGGTATGACGCTCAAAGTGGGAGATGGAGTTCACTTGATGACCCCGTTGTAGCCATTTAAAGATTCCAATCAATTTTTTTTGTTTATAAGAAACTCTTCCGCTACTACAGAACTATCAAAGCTGAGCAAAGCTCTCTTACCTCCTGGATATTTAACATCCACCGTCTTGTTACTATGGATCGAAAGTAGTGCCGGCAAGTGACCAAGATGGTCTCGTGATAAACTTTCCCCGATGATAATGCATTTTTAATCCATCTCTCCATGTTCTTATCTATGTTTAACACGAATGCATATGAATCATCCTTGGGGTTGTTGTACAAGGGAGGGTCATTCAGAGTTTGGTGTGTTGTGCGTTTAGCCTCCATGTAGGTTTTCCCAACCCTGAACACGGGTGTTACAGTTGCCATCACCGGTTGTCAGAAGGTTGGATTTGTTTGTTGTTTGAATTGGTTGTAGACTGGACGTTGTTCCTTCATGCCATGCCTTTCTATTTTGATTTGTAGAATGGTGTTTCTGCACCTTTATCCATTTAGTCTAGCTTCCAGCTCTTTGACATCCTGTACCTCGGTGAATCTGATGTAGCCGAAGTTCTTCCCGTTTTTGCCTCTTTTGTTTCCGAAGTAAACATTTGTTATATTCCCGTAATGTGAAAAGATCTTCTATAATTCCACCTTTGTTGCTCCATTAGGGATGTTGGTGATGAAGTAGCTGGTTTCGTCAACCCTGATTTCCCTTGTCGCCGGAGGTTTTCTTCGTCTCACCTGCGTCCATCCGTCTTCCATGGCGATTAGTTTACCTATCAATTTATCCTTTGTCTCAGTAATAGTTAGTTAGGGTTTTAGTATGATAGAGACAGAGTATTTAAGAGAGAAAGGTAAAGATGTAATATTATTTGCTTAACAATGTATACAAACCAAGTATTGACCAAATCTATAGAATAATTTTTACATGTGAAGACAACATATATCTGTACAAACAGTGGCGGAAACAAAATCAAAATAAAAAAGGTATCCCAAAACAGCTATGTAATATACAAAAAATAAATAAATAAATAAATAAAAAAAAACCGTAATTTTAAAGACTAAATTTTATAAGTTTGGCAAGTGAATTAGTTAAATGAAAGACATTATTTAGATGTAAAGGGATACTAATAACAATAATAATAATTTTTGGAGTATACTAGTTCAGGGTGTAAATTATATTTTCTAGAAATTTGTTTTGTAAGACAAGATAGACTGAGGGATTAAATTTGTCAGGATGTTGAACCTTAGGGACCAAAACAACCTAATTCAGCAATCAATTTGTCTTCTTCGCTTTAACACGACATGAGCTCTTTTCTCTTCCATTTTTGGACCTGCACATATTTACAAATTCGAAAGTCTTTTGATCCCTACCCTCTTGTACACGATTTTGTCTGTTATAGTGCAATCCCCCTCCTCCCTTTAGTTCAAATCCAGAAAAAAAAAGAGAGAGATAGAGAATTGAACTTCAAAGAGGTCATGCTTCTTCGGTGATTTTAGTGAGTGACGAGATCAGGAGAGAACTTCGTTAAGCAAGGGTGCAATGTGACCCACTTATGCTTTTTTTTATATTCTTAGAGAGATCGACATAGATTAGAGTGAAAAGAAAGGTAAAGGTCCAATTGACAATGAAACTCGATATTTGTTAATGGTGGTGTTTGTATGCTCAGTACTCTGGCAATTGGAGAGTATCAGGTTCCTGAAAAAACTTATACTACTGAATTTCTTTTTAGGGGCATCTTGGGCTACCCGGTATCCAAGGTGGATCCGCCTATGTGTACAAATAGGGAAAACACTTAGCAGAAGGAGAATAGAGATCAGAACTCTGTTATGCTAGCTGTAAAGTGAATGTACACCCACGTCATCAATTCCTTTCATTTTAACATACCCCCTCAAGTTTTTAACAGGCCCCCTCAAGTTGTGATGTGGTGAATGAACAACAACCATCTTTTTCTTGAGTGTATGGAATTGAGCAATGTTTAGAGGTTCCGTTAGGATGTCGGTCGTTTGTTCTTTCGAGGGAATGTACCGCACTTCGATCTCTTTTCTAGCTACTTTGTCTCGAATGCAGTGAACATCAATCTCAATCTGTTTTGTTCGAGAGTGAAATGCTGGATTCGCATAAAGTTGTATGGCCATAGAGTTGTCACACCAAATAATGATTGGATCCTTGTTATAGAACCCCATTTCTGATAATAAGGATTTTAGCCAAATGAGTTTAGTATCGGCTTATGCAAGGGCTCTATACTCGACTTCCGTACTTGATCTAGCTACTGATTTTTGTTTCTTTGAGCTCCAACTGATTAGATTTCGTCCTAGGTAGACGCAAAAGCCGGACGTGGATTTGAAGTCGTCCATTGATCTTTCCCAGTTGGAATCACAGAAGCATTCAACATTTAGATTTTCACTTGGTTTGAATTTGATCCCTTCGTTGATAGAGCCTGCTAATACCTTAGAATTCTTTTTCATGCCAACCAATGATTCTTAGTAGGTGATTGCAAGAATTGGCTAAGTTTATTTATCGGATAGGCAATATCTACTCTGCTAAGTGTGAGATATTGGAGAGCTCCAATTACACTTCTATATATTGTTATGTTATTAGATGGACTGTTGTCATTATGATGAAGCTTGTTGCTCGGATTCATGGGAGTTGGACATGGAGTAGCATTAAGCATATTTGTCCTTTTGAGCACATCTATTGTGTACTTGGCTTGTGACAAATGAATTCCATCTAGCCCCTTGTTGTCTCAAAGCCAAGAAATACGTCACAGATCCAAGTTTTTTAAGAGGAAACTGAGCACCAATTTTGGATATGATTTGATGGACTTGATTGGGAGTGATTTGCTGTAATCAAGATGCCATCTACATACACTAAAACAAAGAGTAAGGCATCACCATTTTTGTAGAAAAAAGTGATGAGTCGAAAACTGATTGCTTAAAACCGAGGGAGATTAAAGAGCCTTTCAGTTTGTCAAACCACGCCCAAGGGGCTTGTTTTAAACCATAGATTGCACGATTGAGTTTGCAGACTCTAGTGGGATTGTCAATATTGATGTAGCCAGCAGGTTGTTCCATAAAAACTTGTTCTGTAAGTGGTCCATTGAGGAAGGCATTGTTGATGTCAATCTATTGAACATCCCATGAGTACAACTAGGGAAAGAATGATGCAGATGGTTGTGGGTTTTACAACCGGACTAAACGTCTCAAAGAAGTCTATGTCGGGTTGTTGTTGAAAACCTTTGGCAACAAGGCAAGCCTTGTATCTTTGTATTAAACCATCCGAGTTGTATTTGATGCGAAAGATCCATTTATTGGCTACTATGTTTGCATTTGACTGTTAAGGGACAAGTTCCCAAGTGTTGTTGTTGACTAAGACGATATACTCTTCATCCATGGCTTGTTTCATCGTGGGGAAGAAAGGGCTTGGGAGACAGTTTCGGGAACACTATTGGTATAGATTGGAGCTATTGCTGATTTGAGAAGTGAGGCGAGATAAGTTTTAGGTTTATAAATTCCTAGCTTGGAGCGAGTAAGCATATGATGTGTAGAGGTAGTGGGCTTAATTAGTTGAAGGTTAGATGTGGTCGACATTAGTGGAGATGAGGAAGTGTTTATAGGGATTTGAAAGGGGTGTGGTGAGTGTGAATTTGTGTCAACAACTTCATAAGACTTGAATTCAGGGGATAGAAGGGGTGTGGGACATGAGTTTTGGATGTTATTTTGACCAGATGAAGAGGTTGAAGCAGAAGATATGGTGGGTGGAGTTGCTTCAAAGGGTGTTGATGATGAATCTGGATCACTTACAACTGTATCAAAATAAGAGTCTAGTTTGGATGGGGTGAAACATGGAAACCAGTTGTTGAATTGAGTGGTTAGATTGGAAGAAGCACCAGTGTTTTTGAATGAAGATGTATTGAAGTTGGATTCAAAATGGAATTCTTTTTCACTAAATTGAACACTTTGAGCTATGTATACTTTATCCGAGGGATGAAGACATTTGAAGCCTTTATGATTTGGATTGTACCCAATGAAAACACATTTGGTTGTGTGAAAACTTGTGAAAATCAGGTTTGTGTTGATTATAGGCTCGGAGATGGGGGTAGCAGGAACATCCAAAAACTTTGAGAAAATCAATTTGCGGTTTCTTGTGAAGAATAGTTTCAATGGGTGATTTGTGCCCCAATGTTGGTGTTGATAGATGATTTATGAGAAAGGCAGAGGTATTGAAGGCTTCCCACCAGCATTGAAGAGGTATAGAAGTTTGATGCAATAGAGTGAGTCCCATTTCAATAATATGTATGTGTTTCCTTTCAGATTTTCCATTTTGAGGGCGAGTATGCGGACAAGGGTGTCTAAAGTGAACACCTAGAGATGATAGGATTGGAGTTAATCTTCGATACTCACCTCCCCAATCTGATTAAAGTGTTTTGATTTTTGTTTCAAATTGTCTTTCAACTGTCTTCTGAAAGTTTTCGAAGACATGTTTGACATCAGATTTGAGTTTTAGTGGAAAAATCCTAGTGAAGTTGTTGTAATCATCTACAAAGTGCACATAATATCTGAAACCATCTTTTGAAAGTATGGGAGAGGGTCCCCAAACATCAGAATGAATTAATTCGAGAGGTTGGGTTGATGATTTAGATGCGAAATTGTATGTTGTATTTTTAGATTTACCAACATGACATGCATCATAGAAAGTAAGATTATTCTTGAAGGAAACATTTTCATTAGTTAACATGTGTTTCAATACAATATAATTTGGATGACCAAGTCGTCTATGCCAAAGGTCAACTTTCGAGTTCGAAACACTTTTTGCGAATAAAGATTGAAAGTAGAG